GGGAGAATAAGGTCAACATAGTTGTTATGATGTCTGTTGAATAATTTGTAATATATCTTAGGAATATACCATGTAATATTCCTTAATTAGGTTTTGTACTATGAATACCAAGGCTTGGTAAGAGTTTAGAACTAAGGCACGTGAGAGAAAATAAGTTTGAGAGTCTTTGTAATTTTTCGCGTGTTCTTCTTAATAAAAGTTTCTCTTTTTTGTTTTTGTGTATCATTCCTTCCTTAATACATAGTTTTAATTTCTATTTAATCCTGAATACTTCATTCGTGGTTGTACTCACTACGTAACTTTAAATTCATCAAAGTTGGTCAAATGGTCCAAACTGCAAATTTATAGGTGATTTTTTTTTTTGTAATTTCGAATTAAACTTCTTCTAATTTTCTCTCTTTGATCGGTCGTTTTTGAAATTTGATGGTGGTTTTGCTTAGTTCGATCCTCGGTTTATATCTCTTTAATTTTTCATTTGTGAACGTTTTTTTTTATGGATGGATCACTACAAACATGATCTTTTAATATATTGTAGTCAGGCCGGCTCTGAGAATTCAAGAGCCACAAGCTAAAAAAAAAAAATTGGGTCGGTAATTATTGATATTTAGAAAAGAAAAAAAAAACCAAATATTTTTTAAGGGCTAATTGAACCTTTCACCTCTTATTTATTCTATGTAGCCCATAAACTAATTGAAGTAAAAAAACTTTTATACATATTTATGGGCCGATAATACATAAACAAAAAAAATCAAAAAATTTGGGCCGCAAGCACGGCTTGGCCCGTTTGCCCTCAGGGCCGGCCCTGATTGTAGTTTGGTTGTTAACAAAAATAGGGTTTATTTAGTTAGTAACGAAAATGTGATTAATAATAAAACGTATAGGCATGAAAATCATTAATTAACTATCTAACCAAATTATTTCTCCTGCTTACCAAACTAACATTAACATTTGTACGTGTGGAGATCAAACTAAGAGCATGCATTGAAATTTTTTTAATGGATATCTAATATCAAAATTTTAATAAAACCAAAATCAAAAAGAGAAAAGAGAAATAAAGATGTTCTAAATGTATCACCTTTTGCTAATTTTATGAAGGGTAATTCCGTCATTTTCAAAACATTGATAATATGTTTTGGTTATATATGCCAATTTCTCAAAAAAAAATTACTCTTGTTTTGTAATTGTTGAGTTCTTACTTAGCATTTCATAAATTATTTTTATTAGTAAATTTTTCAGTAGATCATTAAAAACGCCATTCGAGTGGATAGCATAAGTGTAAAAGTACTTTTAGTAGGAGATGCGCAATTCTGTACAATAAAAAAAAAGAAACAAAAAATATAGAGGATAAAAAGAAATAAAGTTCTAACTGTAAAAATTTATTAGATCAATGAAACATAT